CGAAAGTGCATTCCATAAATGTTTTCAAAGATAGTAACTAAGTGACTGAAGTTTCTGCCGTGCAAAATTCTAACTGGAGAGCCTGATTGATGACTCTGGGCTATGGAGGTGTCCCATTGGAGAATATGAATTAGGATACACCCAGAGGGGTGGGGGAAAAACCAGGGTCAAGGGGGACAATGAATGATGTGTCTCAGAGTCGGCTACACCCAGGCAGTGCCGGCATGTTCACTCCCAATAAATCTTTTGGAAGTTTGGCTCGAGGCTCATGATTTAAAAATGGGGGTAACTGCTGGAATCCTGACAGTCGGTCACTCAATGAACTGTTGTAAGTCGAGGACTACCTGTAAAGAGGAGGGCAAAATCTGCAGGAGGCTTGTTTATCCTCAAGGGATGATAACGCTAAAAGCTTTGCTTAAATCTTTGCCCAAGGCAGGAGAATCGATACCCTTTAATGGTTTGCAATCAATACCCTTTTAATAGTTTGATACCCTTTAATGGTTTGGGGGCCCTCCCTCACTGCTTCGGGTTGCGTTCCAGGTGTGACCAAACACAAAAGGATGTGCTGGCTTGCTCACTCCTTTTATTTACAGCTCCTACTTGTAAGGCCGCCCGGCTGCAAACAACCGTGAGCGGCCAATCCCAAAGCAAAGAGGACAGAGGTCTCCAAACTTGACCACTTTAAGTCCTGTGGACTTCACCTCCCAGCAAAGCTGGCTGAGGAACCCTGGGAGTTGAAGCCCACCCAAGGCTTCAAGCGGCCAAGTTTGGGGAGCCCTGAAATAGGAAAACACTCCAGAAATGCCCAGTGGTTAATCCGAACCCCTCCCTGGAGACGGAGCTTGGGAAGGACGCTTCTAATTCCTCCTTTCTCTTCCTTCTCTTTCTCGGGTGCAGCGTCCTGCTCTCCATGGCTGAGCTGTATTGGCAGTCTCTGTGCCACACGGTCGCTTTGCCCATCCTGCTGCAAGCCCTGGCCCTGGCGCGGGAGTACCGCCTGCAGTACTTGGCTTCGGAAACCATCCTCAATTTGGCTTTTGCCCAGGTATCGCTCCGCTCCTCCTTGCGTTTTCTCTCTTGGCTGCTGGGAGGGGACGGGACCCTTGCTGCAAAGCCTACAGCCCCCAGATTATCCCCTGCCCACCCACCCCCAAGTAATAGGGTTAAGCTGGTTGTGGATTGAAGAAACGACAACCAGCTGGCATTGTCAAATACTTAGCCAATTGCCCTTGTTGTTGTTGTGTTCGCTTCTTCCCTAGCTCGTTCTGGGGATCCCCGAGCAAGCCCTCAGCATCCTGCACATGGCCATAGAGCCCATCCTGGCCCATGGGGCTGTGCTGGACAAAGGAGCCGCCATGTTCTTGGTGGCCAAGTGCCAGGTTGCTTCTGCGGCCTCTTACGACCCCGCCAAGAAGGCAGCAGGTGAGCTCTCCCCACCGTCGGCGTCCCCAGGGCAAGGCCGGGGTTGCTCTTCGACAAAAACGCGGAGCTGAACGGGCGTTTCTGCCAGCCTGGCTCCCTTGCCTGGGGCTTCGGAAAGAGCCCAAATGAGTTTAACCACTATGCCAAACTGCCCCCTGTTACTTGGCTGGTGGGTGGGCATCTGTTGAAATGCCTATTTTGAAAAGGGGACAGATGTAGTTCAAAATTTCTGACTCTCTCTCTCTCTCCTTTCTTTCTCTCTTTCTTTCCCTCCCTCCCTCCCTCTTTCTTTCTTTCTCTCTCTTTTCTTTTTCTCTTTTTCTTTCTCTTCTTTCTCTCTTCTTTCTTTCTCTCCCTTCCTTTCCCTCTCTTTCTCTCTTTCTTTTTCTCCTCTTTTTCTCTCTCCTTTCTTTCTCTCTTCTTTCTCTTCCTTCTTTCTTTCTTTCTTTCTTTCTTTCTTTCTTTCTTTCTTTCTTTCTTTCTCTCTTTCTCTCTCTCTCTCTCTCTCTCTCTCTCTTCCTTCTCTCCCTCCCTCCCCCTCTCTCTCTCAGCCCTGGAAGCAGCTATCCTGAACTTGAACGAAGCCAAAACCTATTTTGCAAAAGTGGACTGCAAAGAACAGCTGCGGGACGTCCTGTATCTCCAAGCCAGGCTCTTCCACAGCCTGGGTAAGACCCAAGAGAGGAACCAGTGCGCCATGCTCTTCCGGCAGCTTCACCTGGAATTCCCCGCCCGGGGGGTCCCTCTGATCAGCACATTTAAATGAGGCCTCTGAGCAGAGGAGGCCAGTCCCCGGGGAGGGGGGGGGAGGGGGGAGAGGCCCACTGGGCCACAGAACTGAAACGAGACCCGTAGATCGTCCCTCTGCGGTTCTTCCTCCCCTCCTTATGCGTCCCTCACCCCGTGCCATTTTCAGTCTTTGGAAATGCCAATAAATTGGGCCTGGGGGCAACACCCAGAGGCAGCGTGCCTGTGTTCAGATGCCCATCTTGCTTGGCTTGTCCTTGCCGGTCGAGGCCCACTGACCCATCCTGGTCACAAGGGATGCCACGGACTTTCTGGCCACCGACTCGCAGTCAACGTCTTTGCCATATGTGAACCACTGCAGGTAATCCTCGACTGGCGACCACAGTTGCTATAGAATGTCTCTATATAAATATATGAATAAATAAACACGAGTCAGTCGCCAAGTGCTTGAATTTTGACCGTGCGGGATGCCACAATGGCGTGAAAAACCAGCCCAAACTCCCCCCCTTTTTTTCCCCCAAAGTTGTTAACTTTGAACAGCGTCAGCGGGGAAGCCACATTAACACAACCACCCGACTTAGCAGGAACAACTGCAGTGATTCCCTTAAGAAATGTGGGAAGGGGAAGAAAAAAAAATCCTTTTGCGGGACAAAAACTCGCAAATTTCTTGCTCGGCCACATCAATTCCAGCCTCAGGTCGAGAACGACCTGCGCTGATTGATCCTGAGCAATCATCGTTTTCAGAGTCCAGCGGACGTTTGTCAAGCCCCGGCGAGTTTTCCGAACCCGCCCGGCGACCCATCAACCCTCCATTCCAACCAGCAGCTCCGAGACCCAACATAACCTCAAAAGTGCCTTTTATTAGAACAGCACCCGGCACATCTGTGGAACCCCGAATCTAAAAAGCTTTCCACAATTTCCCAGAGCTACAAATCCCTTCTCCCTCGGCCATCATCACATCACATCCTCACCTTGAGACTTCCGAGAAGAGATTGGGCTGCCCCCTGTCAGAAATGGTGTAGGGTCTCCCGCTTGGGGGGGGGGGGGGGTTGGACTAGATGACCTACAAGGTCCCTTCCAACTCTGATTATCTGTTCATCTGCTAACGTGGCCCAATCACGATCCATCCAAAAATAAGACCCTTATTTCGTCCTGCGCCGCACACAGCGACCTTGGACTAACGAAATAATTTTATTTTGTCTACTTAGAGCTTAATTGAAATCACACACACACACACACACACACGCTTTCTCAGGCGATGTGGCAGCGTGGAATATGGCTTCCAAAGCTGACAACCTCTTTGTCCCAACGTCCGTCGGTGATAGATTTGTTTTGTAGAGGAGAAGCTCTTAACAGACCATCTCGACTGGCCGCCCGTTCCTCTTCCCCTTCGTGCATTATTGAAGCCTCTCTGATGGAGGCAGCGTCCTGCCGTGGTAGCCTAGATGCCCAAGAGAGGCTTTTAAAGCACAGGTAAAAGCCACGTCCGTCTCTTTTTGGAGGATTTTTTCCCCCTTCCCTGGCCTGAAAGCGGCTTTTGAGTGGCTGAGAGCCCGTCCATCTGCGTGGGGAGCAACTTTTAAAAGCTTGGCAAGGCCTGCATGGCGGGGTGGACAACACACCAGTGGCAGGAAATGGTGAAGTGTTGCGTTTGTTCTCTCAACGCTGCAGATCGTGAGGATGGAGGGGGATGAAAGGGAAACACCCCCCCCCCCAGAATATCTTCATTTATGTCAAGTAAAGACCCCAGGACCCTGCAACCATCCTAAATGTGAGCCTCTGAATTTCGACTATTCCTTAATAGTCCTCGACTTAACGCGAGTTCGCTTACTGACAAAAGTTATGGCGGAACCAGAAAAAGGGACTCGTTTTTCACCACTCCTTTTTAATTTTTAATTTATTTTTATTTGGTTTGTCAATTGCTTTCAAGATAATAGGTATAAGTATATACATAGTTATGAATACATGAAATGGGTACATATAAGAAAAATAAAAGAAACAATAGGACAGGGACGGTAGGCACATTGGTGCGCTTATGCACTACAGACCTCTTAGGGAAGGGGTGAGGTCAATAGTAGACAGTCTAAGGTGAAAGTTTTTGGGGTTTGGGGAAGAAACCACAGAGTCAGGTAGAGTATTCCAGACATTGACCACTCTGTGGCTGAAGTCGTATTTCCTGCAATCAAGTTTGGTGCGGTTTACCTTGAGTTTGTATCTATTGTTTGCTCTTGTGTTGTTATGCTTGAAGCTGAAGTATTCATTGACCGGTAGGACATTGCAACGTATGATTTTATATACTATTCTTAGATCGGACCGAAGGCGGCGTAGTTCTAGGTTGTCTAGGTCTAGGATTTCGAGTCTGGTGGCGTGCATAAGCGCACCAACGTGCCTACCGTCCCTGTCCAATAGTTTCTTTTATTTTTCTTATACTTATCCATGTATTTATAACTATGTTTTTACTTATACCTGTTATCTTGTAAGCAGTTGACCAATCAATCAATCAAGGTATTCTGCAACGAGTTGGCTCCTAAGAGAAGGGGCAGGAGGCAGGTTCTCCCTGCCTGGATGCTTCTTCCGCTTCTCTGCAAAAGGGTGAATGCCAGAAAGAAAGAAAGAAAGAAAGAAAGAAAGAAAGAAAGAAAGAAAGAAAGAAAGAAAAAGGGAAAGGAAAAAAAAGAGCGGTGGAGGGAAATGGAAAGAGAGAAAGGGTGTGTGTGGGGGGGGAGGAAAGCAGGTTTGGGAGGTGGCCTGATAACAGCCCCCTCCCCTCCCTCTGCACCAATCAGAGCCCGTCTCGACAGCCCAGGGGAGCCAATGGGCGTCCAGCTGCTTGAAGCCGACTCTCACTTTCTAGACAGGAAAAGCTGCGGGCGCAGCCAATCGGGGTGCAGCTGCCAGCATCTGGGGCGTCTGGCTGGCGGTTGTCGTGCAATGGAGACCTTCCCAGGCGGGCTGCGGGGATCGCCAGGGCTGTAGCTGCCTCTCTCCACCGGCCAGTTGGAGCCCCAGGCAGGTAGGCTGCGTTGGTGGAGGAGGAGGAGGAGGAGGAGGAGGAGGAAGGAGGGTGAGCGTGGGCTTGGGGGGCATCTTTCCTTCCCCTGCCTTACTTTCTTCCCAGGGTGGGAGGGGGTTGAAAGGGAGGGGTGCAGCCCCTAGATATCTGGGGAGAAAGCAGGGGGGGGGGCAGAGATGCTTTGGGTGCTCGCCTCCCACCCGAAACATCTGGACCTCTTGGAGGAAGGGGAGCAAGCGCCTGGTTAGTGCGGTTAGAGAGGCTTTCGGAGGGAATCCCCCCTTGCGGCTAACATCTGTCTGGGGGAACCAGGAAGGGCCGGGCAGAGCTAGAAGGGGGATCTGCCGGAGGAAGGGATCCCCTGGGAGGAGGAGGATGCCCCCGCTTTGGGGAGAATAAAACCCAGCCCTGTCCAATGCTACCTATTCTCTCCCCCTCCCTCTCCCTTGCTCTGTCTCTCTCCCTCTCCCTCCCTCTCTCTTCCTCTCTATCCCTTGCTCCGTCTCTCTCTCCGTCTCTCCCTCTCCCTCCTTCTCCCTTGTTCCCTCCCTCTTCTTCTCTCCCTCGCTTCGTCTCTCTCCCTCTCTCTCCCTCTCTCTCGGTCTCTCTCTCTCCCTCCCTCTCCCTCTCCCTCATTCCCTCTCCCTCCCTTCCTCTCCCTCCCTCCCTCTTTCTCTCCCTCATTCTCCATCTCCCTCCCTCCCTCCCCTTCTCTCTCCCTCGCTCCGTCTCTCTCTCCCTCTCTGTCTCTCTCCCTCCCTCTCCCTCATTCCCTCTCTCT